AGTGGGAAGTGCCGATCCACCACTTGAGTTGGCCTTCAACATCGACATAAATCAGATGACAGCCCATGCCCAAGAAAATAAGATTGTAATTAATAATGCCTCTTTTCACTTGTGTACCTATGTACATTGTACACTGTCTTTTCATCTAGTACAAAGTCAATATTTGTTTCCTGCATAGATAGGCAGAAGGTAGAAGGTTTGAAATGGCTTCCAGGGTGATGGGCAATGTCATCAAAGCCACAGGCTTGAATTAAACTCGTCTCCAGGGAGGAGGAAAAATCTAGTTCCAAATATTCCTGTAACTTTTGTGCTGACCAAGTGTTTATTAATAGAAATGGAATCCCCAGTGGGTTTTTCTTTGGTTAGCTGGTGAGCTTGAGAGAAATTACAATACCAAGAGAGTGACTGTGAAATAATTATTCATCATGGCCTGCTGGGCAGAAATTTCTAGGCAGGCAGGCTGCAAGGCACCTCAAAGGGAGGAGCACAGGAAAAGGGTGTGTGGAAGTCTGGCTGCACCCTCCGTTAGGTTATTAGGTAGAGGTGCACCCACAGAGGACTTTCTGTTGGTGTGGGGCACAGCTATTACCAAAAAAGCTGGAAACATGAATTCTAATGACAGATGCCAGTTATCTCCACTTTGAGCCTTTTTATTTTTTATCCAGTGGGGGCAGCTCTTTACTTCTTCCAAGATGTTACCTGGCCAGCCAGCAACTGCGTGGCAGAGGTGACCCTAATCTTAGCCAGGTTAGATGGTTCTATTCCCTTGATGACACGAATTATTCTGCTGAATATAATAAACAGACTTAAAGATGAAAATGTGCTTGAATCACACACGCATTTGAAGAGTGGAGGAGTTCTCGTCTAGATAATAGCTGAGGCTTTTTTTCTTCCTTTCTTTTTGTGCAGAGGTCGAGAACTTAGTAATACTGCAGTTCAGGCCAAAACAAACTCTATATGATCTACTACTGATTTCCTTTTAAGCTCCCCCTTTTTGCTAGGACTGACTTCCTTTTATTTTACTCCAACTTGCATTAATCCCAGTTATAGAAGTTTCTTTCCTCTTTCCCTTGCCTCCAACTTCAAACATTCTTACATAGGAAACAAGTGACTTTTTTTTTTTTTTTTTTAAAGATCTACTTAAAAAATATAAAGGACACCATGACTTTTGGAATACATTTTAGCAGCCTGCAATTTGAAAGTTCACTTCCGAACAGGCAGAGTTAGACGGTTGGAGCTGAAATGCCTACGTGACCACAATGGTCGCTGTAAGCCAAACCACCTGCTTATCTGATCTCCTCTGGGAATGAGGTGGTCGGCACCTACAGTGGTTATTGAGTAATTAGATGCTTCATTTGCCAGAGGCTGTATATTCCTTGAATGAAGCTGCCTCTTTCTATGGGCTTCCATGATGAGAGCTGGGTGTTGAGTGATTGCCCAAAGAGATCAGAGCCTGAGCATGCTTGGGCCCGGTATTTTTAGCTCCAGTTCACATTTTTGTCCTCTCCTCAGCAGCCGTTATTGTCATTGCTGTCATTGACTTCCATTTGAAAGGCTGTGCCAGCCAGGCCCACTGACTGAGCAGCTGAGGAGCCCTAGCCAGCAAAAGGCAGGATGTGGTTAAAACTGTGCTCTGATCCTATCTCTGGCCTCAGGAAACCTATTAGTAGCTTGGGGATTTTCTGAAAGTCCTTCTCTCCCATACACCCTCCCCACCTTCTCTCCTCTTCTGAGAGTTTGCAGGCTAAGCTATCAGGACAGCTAGAATCGCAAAGGGGGCCTCTACTGGGATCTTGGCACACTGTCCTTAGTGAGCTGAAGAGGACACATGGGGCATGTTGCAGTATCATCATTTTCTGGAGACTGAGTAGGTGACGATGTTCCCTTGAGCATATTCTCTTTCATCTCCAGACTGTTGTCTGTATTATTATTATTATATAAATGATAATGAGAGGATGAGGCTCAGCATGCCTTCATAGGGGCAGGGCAGAGTGAGGGTGGGGGCACCAGGCATGCCAGCACTGGGCATCTATCTGTGCCTCAATCCTCATCTAATAAATGGGGACTCATAATTACATCTACCTCACAAAGTTGTGAGCAGTATTGAGAATGTGTGAAAGTGCTGTGCAAAATTTGGTAGGTTAGAACAAATTAAAGTAATTAAAGTATATTATCTGTGTCATCTTCAAAGGGCCATTGAGGGCATTACCTTCTATGGACTTCACAACATTCCTGTACAGTTAGACTGATGGAGATTAATATTCCCATTGGACAGATGAGAAAACTGAGGGTCAGGGAGCTGAACTGATTTGTTCAGTGTTCCAAAACTTATAGAACATCACTGTCCACTAGAAACATAACATAAGCCATACATGTAATTTGAAATTTGCTAGTAACCACATTCAAAAAATAAGAAACTGTGAAATTGATTTTTCAAATAGCATATTTGACTCAATATAGCAAAAAATATTACCACTTTAATATGTGGAATGAGTCACATGTGGCCAGTGGCTACCATATTAGACAGTACCATACACAGTATTTGTTAAGCACACACTAGAAAAAGTCATATGTGTAAGATATAGACCCTGTATTTGAGAAGGTTTGCCTTCTGAGAGCCAAGAAAATGCCATTAAAAATATTGGCCAGGCGCGGTGGCTCACACCTCTAATCTTAGCACTTTGGGAGGCTGAGGCGGGTGGATCACCTGAGGTTAGGAGTTTGAGACCTAACCTGACCAACATGGTGAAACCCCGACTCTACTGAAAACACAAAATTAGCTGGGTGTGATGGTGCATGTCTGTAATCCCAGTTACTTGGGAGGCTGAGGCAGGAGAATTGCTTGCACATGGGAGACTGAGGTTGCAGTGAACTGAGATAGTGCCACTGCACTCTAGCCTGGGTGACAGAGTGAGACTCTGTCTAATGAAAAAGAAATGTTTATTTTCTCTTTGGGGTACTTTGTTATAGAGACCTTAGGAATCAACCAGACTATTCTTTTATTCTTTAAGTCTGTGAGAAAATTTCCAACTCGTAAAGTTAGATATTTGGGATTCATTCACCCTTCTGCATCAGTGTCTGTCACTCATCTTTCTTTCCCAGCTCTCTTAAAAATTATGATTTTCTGAGTCATATGAAAGAATGAAATTATTTCAGAAAGATCCCATATCCCCAAAGGGCCTAGGAAAATTGTCAACTGGGGCTGAGTGATTTTAGTTGGTGAACAATTTTTTAAAAATTAGTGACAAAAGTATAGAGCTGCCTGGGGAATACAATGCCTGTTGGCTGAGATTAATGGTAAGATTAATAAATGGATTGCTTGATGAAAAGGCGCAGGAGAACAAAAACCAGTAGAGAGATTGTGGAGGAGGTCACTTATTAATGAACTGTCAGCCCAAAGAAAGTTCAAGAAACTCTCCTGTGGTAAATGCAGCAGGCTGGCACTTCTAATAAAAGTTGGGGTCCTTCAGGAATTAATTACTCCAGCCTTACAGCAAGAATTTGTGGAATTGCAAAACGTTGTGGCACAGACCAGCACGGGCTGCTGCTACAAACGGGGAGGCTGCAGGAGAAACTCATCATTTTTTTTCATTGATATGTAGGATATTGTAGTAGCATAATAGCCAGTCAGACACGGGGATGAGTGACGGCGTCCAGATATACACTGACTAATGAAACGGCACATACTTTGAGTTTGAAGTCACTTCACTTTTCATATGCAAAATGCGCTCCTGGAATCTGATTTCCTCCTTATCCTGTGTACCCACCACTAAGGAGTTCCAAATAATTTTCAGAGTTGTTATATGAAAGTCAGACGAACTCTGCCACGATTTATCAAGCTATGCGGAAAGAGAGCACAAAATTCATTTATTCTGAGTTACTGTAATTTCCCTCTCCCCTCCTCAAGTTCCCAGTTATGCTTGGCCTGAAAAAAGCCTTTCTGAATTAAAATTTGGTGTTGCCTCTGCCCGGTGAAGCAGCTTAAAAGAATGCCATGACCAGGCAGAGATGGTCTGAGATCTGCAATCTGATACCACACATCAGATGTTAAATGCCTCTTACCTTTTTTCATTTCTGCCACGATGGTAGAGTGAAATTTTTCTTCTGTAAAGTGTTTAAACCAAGAGGTCCCAGACAAACTCTTGGTCTCTTGGGTCTCAAATTTCATAATTAACCATTTCAGTTCAGGCATAAATTTATTCCTGATGGAGCTTGGCAATTTAGGAGATTTCTGGCCATTGATTCATGTGCTAATTTTCTAGGAATGAAATAAATACAGAGGGGACAGAACAGCTTTTGGTTGGTTTACATGGTGGTGTGAGACTTCTTTGGAGTCTTTATGTAAATGATCAGCCGTTTCCCTCATAGAGTCTTACAGAACTGGGCTCTTTTTTTTTTTTTTTTTTTAACATTTGACTTGTACCAGGATTATAAAACATATAGAAAATGATTCCTTCAGCTGTGCATAGAGTTTATCATCATCTTTCTTCGCTTGTCACATCCTTACTTTTTAGACCATTTATCAGCCATCACTCTTTGACTTTTCAGACCCTCATAATCCACATGATACTTATCCTTTTGATTAAAACAACTTAATGGCCTTTTCACGAATAATTAATCTGCTGTCTTTACTTTCAGCTCCAGGCTTTTAACTTTAATGTTGAGTTATCCAGCCTGTGTTGCCTTTCAAAGTTTCACTCCCCTTAGCCTTTTCCCCTCAAAGGTTTAATACTTCTTTAGAAACTTCAATGGTTGCTATACAAAGGTTTTAAAAAATGCTTCCGAGTTACTCTCACATCCCTTCTGCTGTGTATGAAGTGTATGACTGTGCAGAGATCAGTGGGATGAAGTGAAAATAATTTCAGACTTGCATATTCTGTCATTCTGGAAAATGTGGAGGCTTGTACTTTCAAGAAAAGTTAAAACTCCATTGCTTTTGAAGAAGCAATTGTGTATTATTTTGTGGTTATGTGTCCTAACTCTGGATGTTTTTCTAACAGTGACAATTTATACCAAATGACCTCCCAGCTTGAATGCATGACCTGGAATCAGATGAACTTAGGAGCCACCTTAAAGGGGTAAGGTTTTCTCTATTTCATTGCCTTTCCACAGTAACTTATACCTGTTTGAACCATTTTAAAGGTGCTTAGAACTTATGAAGACAGTACAGTTTTTGAAGAATGGGCAGAGCTCTCTGTGGCATTAGAATGCTTTCCTCCTTCCCCTAGTTGGTGAGTTGTGTTCAGTATTAAATTTTCAAAAATATAAATAGGGGGCATTTCTATCTGGAACAAGGAATATTGAGGACACTTATTATGGTCTTGTTGAATGTTTTATAATCTTCAAAGGCCATTCAACCTCATTTAATAATTGTGTTTTACTGTAAGATCACAGTTGTTAACCATTCCACTATCTTATCAAGAAGTGCTTTGGGTGTACAAACTCCAGGGTCTAAATTCTATTTGTGTGGCGCTGATCTGGGCAATCCACAGTCAGATATGCCCATACCTGATTGCACCAACAGGGTGTTTCTTTCCATACTTGATAATGCAACCTGAATAGGGAGAATACAGCCAGGAAACATCGGAAGGGGCTACTCTTTGCACCTAAAAATGAGAAAGAAAAGAAAAGGCAGGTAGGACTTGCTTTCACCATTGAAAGAACTCACTTTTCATTTTCTAACAAGTGTGAAGAGATGGACAGTAGCATAGAGCACTCATGAAGTGCCTGCAGCGTGTCAGGCGCCCTTCCAAGTTACCTCATCTTATCTTCCCAACACTCTGATGAGGGCTAAGTACTGCTTGGTTTACAGATGAGTAAACCAAGCTCAGAGGGTTAAGTTACTTCCCAAGTTCACATCCTAGTAAGTGTTGGAGCTGGGATTCCAAGTCCAGATCTGATTCCAAAGCCCAAGCTCTTTGCAGCCTCCGGTGGTGCCTTCGATCCCACCATTGGCCCCAGTGGGACTGGGGACTTAGTTCAGCACTCTTGAAAGCTAGCTTGATGTCTCTGTGTATTGAGGGGCTTTTCATTGGATTCTGGGATCTGGGGGGCTTGCCAGATCCATGCATGCTCCATTCCCCACTCCCCACCTCTTCTTCTCTTCTAGAGTTGCTGCTGGGAGCTCCAGCTCAGTGAAATGGACAGAAGGGCAGAGCAAGTGAGTGGACAATGCGGAGATGGCAAAGCAAATGGCGTAGGCCTTGTTGACTGGCACCTGGGGCAATGCAGGAGTTAGGACTGATGTGGGTAATCAGGGTAGCATTTGGTGGATGGGAAGAGTCTCTCTCCCCCGCCCCCACCTCTTCTTGTTCATCATACACATGCTGGGGACGAAATGGAGGGAGTGGCATTTCTCATCAACGTGCCCCTGGAAAACAATTTAAAAAATTATGCAATAGGAATCCTGTTCATTTCTTTTTGAGTATTTCACAAAATACGAAATACTAAATACTAAATTTGTGGCATTGCAACCATAATGCCACATGTTCTTGTTAGATCAGTCAAGCCTTTCAGTCTTAACTTACTTGCTTGTTCTTTATTTACCTTTCAATTTCTCAGGGAGAACTTACCCTAAGTCTGAGGCCAGGTTTGAAAAGACTTGTTTTTTGTTGTTTTTCAAAGTTTGTTTTTATTCCCAAACATTCGCACCTTCCCCAGCCCTATACTCTGCACCCTGGGGCATTTCTGTAGCTGTTTCTTTTTCTTTTCTCTGCTTAAACTCCATAACCAGCCGCCCTCTTTTCTTCTTCCGTGTGTTGGCCCAGTCCTGTTATTTGGTTCATCCTTCAGTAATCGACAGAGTTGTATTTCATCTTCCAAGACTTACTGTTGAATTCTTCACCTCACCGCCACCCCCACCCCCAAATTTTTCAGCAATTTTATCCAGATCTCCTCTTCCTCTCTCTGGACCTCAAAGAAAAGGCTTTCTGTTGTTTCAAATTATTTCTCTCCCGTCTTCCATCTGAGGGGCTGCTGACAGTTTTAGCATTCTGTCTTTCTACCTGTTGTCCTTTCTTTTTGAGATGGAGTTTTCACTCTTGTGGCCCAGGCTGGAGTGCAATGGCGCCATCTCGGCTCACTGCAACCTCTGCCTCCCGGGTTCAAGCGATTCTCCTGCCTCAGCCTCCCGAGTAGCTGAGATTACAGGCATGCGCCACCACGCCCAGCTAATTTTGTATTTTTAGTAGAGACAGAGTTTCTCCATGTTGGTCAGGCTGGTCTCAAACTCCTGACCTCAGGTGATCCACCCGCCTCGGCCTCCCAAAGTGCTGGGATTACAGGCATGAGCCACCGCGCCTGACCTTTCTACCTGTTCTTAACTCATCTTAAGTTCCTTGGCTTCTTGGTCCCACCCTTTCTTTCTGGCTCCCTTCCTTTTCTCCTTTCTCCTCTCCTCAGAACTTGATAACGTTCCCCAAGCTAAATAGCAAGGATAGACAGAACATGATTGTGAAGTGAGCAGTACGTTTCAGTTTCAAAAACTTCTTCATGCTCTAAGGGGTTTGTTTGTTCAGTTACAAAAATTACAGATAAGGAATTTTGGCATGTATTTGCAGCTGGATCTTTCCATAGTTGAGATAATTTTGATACTTTTTAAGGTCTTTAGACACATACTGTTAGTCACTTGCTGAGGAGGCAGAAGCTGTATTTTAAGGATGAAGCACAAAGTGTGAACAATTTGTTCTGTTCAATACTGCATAAGAAAAAAAATCAGAAGAGTTTTCATTGGTCTGTTACTTACATCTTGGAAAGGATTTCTGAAATAAAAATGTATTTCTTTCATTTTTTTTTCTTTTTTTTTTTTTTGAGACGGAGTCCCACTCCGTCACCCAGGCTGGAGTGCAGTAGCACGATCTCAGCTCACTGGAACCTCCGCCTCCTGGGTTCAAGTGATTCTCCTGCCTCAGCCTCCTGAGTAGCTGGGATTACAGGCATCTGCCACCATACTCGGCTAATTTTTGTATTTTTGGTAGAGACAGGTTTTTGCCATGCTGGCCAGGCTGGTCTCGAACACCTGACCTCAGGCGATCCGCCCCGCTTGGCCTCCCAAAGTTCTGGGATTACAGGTGTGAGCTGCTGCGCCCTGCCTAAAAATGTATTTCTTGACCTGGCATGGTGGCTCACGCCTATAATCTCAGCAGTTTGGGAGACTGAGGTGGGAGGATCACTTGAGCTCAGGAGTTTGAGACCAGCCTGGGCAATGTGGTGAAACCCCTTCTCTACAAAAAATACAAAAAAAATTAGCCAGACATGGTGGCACATGCCTGTAACCCCAGCTACTTGGAATGCTGAGGTGGGCGGATTGCTTGAGCTTGGGAGGCAGAGGTTGCAGTAAGCCAAGATCAGGTCACTGCATTCCAGCCTGGGCGATAGAGTGAGACCCTTCCACAAAACAAAACAAAACAAAACAAAACAAACAAACAAAATATATATGTATATTTCTCGAATATTAACTTTATTCAGGGAGCTGTTATAAAAAAGGCTAGATGGCCCAACAGATAGTTCCACAAAAGAACAACTCTTTTGCAGACCTAAAAATTACAATTAGCTAATTGCCTACCATCTTCTCTCACACTGTGAATTTATCCCTGTAGAACATACTGTAAATCCACGAATTTCCGCTTCCATTTTGTAAATTGGACATTCATCTAAGGATGTATATTAACATTATTGGGTGCTGTGTGAGGGGCTGTACATGTTTCCTCTTCTGATCTGATCTTACAACACCTCCAGGACACTTTGGCCACATCCATTTTTCAGCTGAGGAGGGTGGAGAGATTAAGCTAACTAACCAAGGTCACATAGTGAGTGAGTGGCAGAGCCATGCTGGAATCAGTTCTGTCTGACTCCAGGACCTGGGCCCTAGATTAGAGCTTCTTAAATGAGTGGAAACCTTTTAGACTGTGACTACAGTTAGAAATACCCTTTACAGTGACAGCCCATATACACACATGCACACATACACACACACCCCCCACAGATTTTCACTGAGCAATTCTCTTATGACATTCTCTGCATGCTGATACTTTCCCTCCCATTTCATTTTCCAAAATGCTAATTGTGATGTACTAGATTGATTTTACAACCCACAGTTTGCCTCACTTTTAGCATTCAAACATGGTGACATCTTGGCTGTCTCCTCCAAACTTATGAACAGCCCAGAACTGGATTTAGTTGAATCTGTAATTCCAGTAGAAAGTTTGGCCTTTCCCCAGGGGAGACAAATCTGGGTTGGGGTCATTGTTCTTTGTGATACTGGATTTACTTTCTTTTGCCATGGTATGAAAACTATTAATATGGAGAATACATTTGAGAAAAGATATTCCATGAAGACAAATTCAGACACATAACTTTTTGCGTTCATTCATAACTAGTATCTTGCCACTGTTTGAAATCAATGGTTAGAAAAATCATGTGACAAGGTAGATCTATTACAGGAAAACTGGCGATTTGACTTATGTTTTAGAGAAGAAAGATGTAATTTCCGTACCACTCATAAAAAAGAGGCGTTATCAATTTTTTATTAAAAGATCATGTACCTCAGACTAAACCCCACTGAATGCTGGTTCAGGTCTTCTTTCCTTGAAAATGTTTCTTTTTTAAAAAGTGGCTTCACAAAGAATAGATTTGTTTCCTTGTATCCCAAGCAAGTCCGTGGAGACATCTTTCATTAGATGTCAGGGATCAGTGTTACAATGGGTGGGGATAGGATTTTATAAAGAAGGTGGGCAGATGAAATGAAAACTTGGCTGTGTTAGAGGTGGGATATACTTGTGTGGCTGAACCACTCCTTTCTCCTCCTTCTCCCTTTACTCATTTTCTAATTTCTGCTTACCCACTGGGATCACAGCTACTTTTATGACCTCCAATGGGAGAAGGTATTTCAATTTAAGTCAATGAGAAGGTACTTTATAGAAAGAACCACCTTCTTCTCCCTCAGCCCCCAACAAATGAAATTAGATTTTTAAAGTGGGTCCCTGGGAGAAAACGTTGCTAGGGAATCTTTCTGAGTATGACTCCACCATTTTGAAGCCTTCTATTGATGGTGCCTTGTGTTATCTGCTTTCTATTTCTTTGAAAACATTTTCTGTGTGTTCTCAATGGCTGCTGATTTCCGAACAAGCCTCTCCTACCCTGTTGGCCTCTGTTTTGTCTCTTCTGAAGAAAATATCCTGCAAAATGGAGAAACACATCAACCTTGACTCTGATCCAAGTTATTAAAACAAGGAAGACGTTATTCTCTGGGGACTCGGGTAGGGGGAGTGGGAAATCGAACACAATAGAAATGTGAAAGGAGTGCTCAGCAAAATGAATGTCCCTTTGCTGGTCCAAGAAGTTCACAGGCTGTTGGGAACATGCAGTATTCAACCTGTGGATGCTTGAGAGGAAAAACAAAAAAGACTCAACAATGAGTGATGTATAGTGAAAACAAAGCTGTGCGTTTGGTAGGGCCAAGGCTGTCGAATCTGGAGAAAATCCCCGCTAGACATGGTCTCATCCCTGAGAACCTGTGCCAAAAGAGATAGCTGTCTTCTCTGGCTGGGAGCTCCAATACGCAGCCCAGCACCTTCCCTCGCAGGCTCATGAACATAAGGTACCCGTCCAAGAGATTTACTTCTTGGAAATAGATAGCTTGCTTTTAAGTGGCTCCTGGAGCCTGAGATGCAAAGTGAAGGTGGGGAGCCTCAGTTCTGTGAATATCAGCATTTCCGAGCCTACTCCTTCATCTCCACCCCCAGCAACAAGTTATTAATTTCCCCCCGTTTAAACAGTTTCATTTAATACTGTTTAAAGAGGTTTTTTTTTTTTTTTCTTTATTATTGCCTTGCATTGCACTTGGCCTGGGGTCTGTTAACCCTGCCAACCAGAACAAAGACTGGGACTCCCGCGTTTGATAAAGATGGAGACTCGTGACTTAGCTCTGTGTCCCTCTCACTTAGTGTGGACTGATTCGGAAGCTTCTTTCCTTTGCTTCTCACTTTTCTGCTTCTTCTTTCCCCTCCCTGGCTGCTGGCCTTTTCTATCCTTTTATTTTTGGACATGCATTTGATGAATGTATTGAATTTTTTCATTATGTAAGTAATGTGTACAAATTATAGAATAGTTAGAAAATACAACTACACAGGGAAGGAAATTAAAACTCCCTCCAAAAGCCCA